TTTCACACGTTGCTTTGCTGGTTTGAGGACCAGGAGTGTTGCTAATAGGCTCTTAGTTGTTAAGGTTAGGCTGGTCCTCTGCACTTGATGCTTCACCTGTTGAATATCGCTCAGCAATCGACCCCACTGCTAGGATTCGGGATAGAGGCCTGCATGTCTGATTAAGCCACTTGTGGTACTGTTTGCATACAGTAGTTGTCAATCACTGAATCTAAAAAATATTTTTCCGCACAGCTGAACTAATTACTGCCATTTTAGCATGAAAAGTTATTAGACGAAAATGCTGCAGGTGAAACTGAGCTAGTTATATCACTCTAATAACTGCAGTTCACGGTCAGTCAACACTCCATTTGCAAGCTGAGTGGAAGCATAAATGATAGAGTAGGCTTCTTGTTCAGTCCAGCACATATGGAGCAACATTAGCATGCATTTGGAGTCATGTTTCTGGTCACCTGTTTTATTTTTCTTACTGGTTCATGACTAAAAACAGCTGCCTGCTACGGCCAAAAATAACGCCAATGAGAGTGGTGAGAATGAACCAAAATCGAAAGGTTCAGAGCCGCAAAACCAAAACTGTGAGCTGAGAGATGCTTCTTCTTTACATCACACATTCATTTGACCCATTATTATCAAGATATTGACTATAACATTTTTTTTCTGGTTCTGGTTTATTATGTATTATCACTGAATTATTTTACACCTTCAATTAAAATCCTGACAAAATCACGTAGCACAAGGACAACTGCAGTGGCAATCTGCCCACCTGTGATGATTAATAAGAACTGCAGCTGTGAAAATTTAAGAGTCACCATTTGTCGTAATTAGCAATACCACTGGTGTGAGATGAAGTTGAAGCTTGCCGGTGGTCTATAGTGCAACAGGAATATTTGTTTACAGTAATTACACCAATATTGCAGTGTAATTATTTTATAGTGATGGAGCAGGAATTCTAAAGGCTAGTCACGTCATTGAAGTGGACTCCCTGGTCATTAATTATCTAACCAGACATAATGTGTGTGTTCTGTACTGTCATAATTGTGGGATTTTTGGGATTATGTACGAGTGGAGTTAAGTGTAGATTAAGGCTGAATTCATGTATTGTTGGTTGGGTAGGTAGTAGACACCCCACATACACACACACAACAGCTGTGGGTGTGTGAGAGAGAGATGGAGAGCTTCTGAACATAGGTATCCTTGTGTGGCTTTTTTGTCAGTGGATGCTCATTTATGTACGTAGCGGTCTCTTTCTCTGTCTCTCTGTTTTCTCAGAGGGTAATGAATGGAAAACACTGACTGTGTGTGTGTGTGTGTGTGTGTGTCTGCATCTGCTCATGTATGTTAGCAAGGCAACAATACACACAGCACAGCCCACTTGTTTTGTCTGGCTTTGACATCACCAAAACCCACAACAGCCATTATCGGTGCAAGCAGGTGTCTGTTGTTTGCGTGCTAGGCAACTGAAGGGATCTGATTGGCTACCAGACAGTCCACCTTGATCACCAGGGGCAACCAGCACTATGACCGCTTGTCACTGTAAAAGATGTGTGGAGCGTGAGGTGAGAGACAAAAAGAGGAATGACAGAGGGAGGAAGAGGAGGTGAGAGGAGAGCGAGATTCTCGCTGAGAGGCGTGAGAAAAACACCAAGAGCAAGCAGTTCAGGAAAGGCGGCGACAAAAGTGTTTACCGCTGTGATGGCACGCTGGTGTTGCTACGGCTAGTAGCCCTATTGGCAGATGGGCGGCTTGTCAAATGCGCTTCGCTCTAAGGGCTTGAGGGCGTTCTGCACAGCAGCACATATTGATATGATAGGGAGCTCATTCACAACAGCCTCTTTCCGCTTGAATGAGGAGCTGAAGACACACAGTGCAGATATACACACCAAAATATACACAAATGTAACAATAAATGAATGAAAAGCTCAGCATGGAGAAGGACGACGGTGTGATGAGGTGCGGTGGTCGACTGTATAAAAGGCAACCTGAAGCGAGAGTCATTTTCCAAGCAGGCAAGCGTTTAAGATGGAGAAATGGAAATTAATTCTTGAATTGAGTCCTGACTGATGTAAATATAGGGCTGTGACAGATATTTGAATGAAATGTTTAATCAATAGAACAAGGTTAGTGGAGTAATCTTAAAACACAGTTGGACTCCACCAACACTTTCTCTTTTTATTGCTCCCATTGGTAGTGCACTTTCAGATTTTTCCCTATAAGCCGTACTCTTTTGTCCCTTTTCTTTTTTGTTTTAATTCTAATAATAATCTTTAATTGTGAAACACTTTTTAAAAACAAGGATACAAAGGGCTTCACACAAAGCAACCAATTAACAGTAGCTAGCAGTTATTTTAGGCGGCACTTAAAGCTAAATGCTAACATCAGCATGCTAATATGCTCACAATGACAATGCTAACTAACATGCTGTGTGGCAGGTGTAATGTTAACTGCCGTCACCTTTAAGTGGTTAGCATGCTAACATTTACCAGTTAGCACTTAACACAAAGTACTACTGAGGCTCCGTGTTGCAGTTACTTTGGAAGTTTCAGCTAATTGTTTGGTTTTACAGCCCACAACAGCAGACCGTAAAGGTAGCAGCTAGCTTGTAACTACAGTGGAGCACTTAGCAGAGAGCCAACTAGGGCCCCAAAGGACAGAGATTTGTAGTTGTTTTCAGTGAGAGTGAAGGGTTTTTTTAGCGGCTTTTTCATTCTTGAGAAATATGTTCACTTCCGTCTAACAGCTTGTCAGTTATTCAACATTAAACCTTAACGTTAGAATTAACGCCTTAACGTCTGAATTTATTCAGATATACCTCGGGCAACTTGAAAGTGAGCTAACATTATAATGTAACCATTTTACAACTGCTGAATTAGATTCAATAGAGTCCTCAACAAAACATCTGGTGCAATGAGAGCTTTCTCACGCTTTCAATCTAGAGAGTGAGAGTCAGCATAACCACAGAAACCCACTACAACTGTGCAAGCGGCATCTCATCTCCGTTCCTCACCTACTGACTGCCTGCGCAGTGAAAGAAGGTGTTAAAAGTTGTTAAATGTAGCATGAAAGTTGCCAAGTCGGCAACACTGGTAAACAGTTTATTCCTCTATACGAAGAGATTAAAAAGGTGATACTGACTCAGCCAGCCTTATTTATGTTGTTCCAAAGCTTTATTGCCTGAGTGCACAGTTTCTGTCACCCTTAGTTCTGAGATTGGACTCCAGAACAGGAAAAAAGGCCCTCTAGCTGAGAGTTTCAAGCTACATACAAACTATGTATATATAAGTATACTATATATGGACTAAAAAGTCTGAAGTATAGTTATTTGCCAGACCATGCAGTGCCTTAAAAGAGCCTTCTTCTGGTCTTAAAATCAATATCATTGTGCACTCAGCAGGTCTTCGAATGGTATAAAAGTGAATTTGTGTCAGCTGCAGGTTGCCTGAATGTTGTACAGGACGAGATGACAGAGGGAGGGGAGATAAACACGGAGAGCAGAGATAAGGATAGAGAGATGTTTACCCTAATGCGACATCAGTGAAGCGGATGGCAGATCGACACAGGAGTCAACACACGGTTCACGCAGATTAACTCGCAATAGGCTCATCTTCATTCATCACCCTGCTTGTCTTCCCGACACACACACATTAACAAACATGCACACGCTCATAACTGAACAGAAAGACAATGGTGCCGTCGTTATTATTGAGGATCATCAGTTTTCATGGTGCGAGAAACAGAAATTTTAAATTATTTTCAACCATAGCAGCCTTTCGAAACGATGAAAAGATTGCTAATGTTCTAATGTCACAGTTGGCAGATCCAATCACATTATTATTGCAGTGTAATATCCTTCATATTAAGATAATCAGATACCTGTAACTGCTGTTAATGGGATCTCAAAAGCAAAATGACTGAATTCACATTAGTGTTAAATTTGGAGTTACACTGACTGTTTTTCGTTTCACTTTTATTTGCTATGGTTAATGCAACTATAACAATTCCACTGAAAACGTGAGTCTCAGTTCTCCTAGATAAAATGTAAGCAACCGACTACAGGAAACAACCCAAAAAATGCAAGTGTTGAAAGGGGCACCCCACTGACATCGCTGTGTTTGGTTATCTAGGGCTCTGATACTTCAAGTTTGACGAGTATGTTTTTTTAAAGTGTCTCTTATGCTTCAACTTTATTGAATTGCAATACTAAATCACCAGAGCACTGCATTAAACACCTGGAATGAGTCTTTAAAGAAATCAGGAAACTTGTCCTTGTCCTCATATAGCCTCTATGCTACTGCTAGATGATGGGCAAATTCACAAAAGGACTGCGCAGCTTTTGAGGCAGCTAAACCTGCACAAGTTAGACAAAAACAAAAACAAAACTTTAATTCTCAATGCACCTGCAGAGGGTAAAATGCACCCCTCATTGTGCTGCCAACAATAATGTCTCAGCGCTCCTGTGCTATTTGCAAGTGTTTAAAGTAGGTATTGATGCAAAATTGGCCCCTTTCTATGCAAATGAACATTTCAGAAACAGTCCAATTCACAATGATCAGCACTAAAAGCCACAGGCAGTTACAGTGAAATGACTGCATTAGCGTCTTGGTGGTAACTGAGGCACATTTATAAGGGGTCTTTCGCCCACATGCAGTAAAAACAGCACTGACAGAGTGTGATATTAGATTAATACATTTTCTCTCTACATCTTACTGGTCACGATCTGATAATTTCAGTTGATGCGCAATTCATGCTGTAATCAGCAGTTGCAATCCAATGTGCTCCTTGTTTGTATCATGCTGGTTCATGTGAGGGTGTAGATTTAAGAATGAGATCATACTAGACCGTAGGATGCACAGTCAGAATGCAATCTGTTTCCCAGCTTCGTATCATGAAAACTTAATTAGTGTGAAAACCAGTAGGGTACCAGTTGAGGATGGAAGGTACGTATATTGTCCAGTAAATTATCTGCTTGTGACTCACGTGACGGTTTGTGTATGTGTTCACAGAGGGGCGTTTTCCGAGGTGGTCCTGGCCCAGGAGAAGCTGACAGGCCGGATGTTTGCAGTGAAGTGCATCCCGAAGAAAGCTCTAAAGGGGAAGGAGAGCAGCATCGAGAACGAGATTGCCGTGCTGAGGAAGTGAGTGCTGTTGTAAAAACACACATACACACGCGCCTAAGCCTCCTAATTCCTGGTTACCGGGGCAACTGTGCATCTCCTCTCTCTTTTCCACACATCACAACCCCCTCCCAAAAACCCCCGCCCCCAGGTCACGATCCACAGCCCACCTACCACACATATACACACACATCACGACTGAAACTTCTGTCTGTCTGAGCATAAAACAGCTGCACAGTATAACCACAAGAATCCTGTAGTGAACTCTTCTAGGATACTGGGACTGTGAATAACTGTAAATGTGAATGGTCCAGTCCATGGAGAGGGAAAATATCGATTTCTAATGGCTGAATTTTTATTAGAACCAATTATTCTTTTTGCCAGAGTCAGAACTGCACTCTCTGAAGATGGTCACGTTTACATTCAGCAAGTGGAAAGATGACAAGAACATTGCTGTCAGATGTAAACTGTGTGTAGGTAGTGGCACTAAGGCTCCTTCCACTGCAAAAAAACACTACCTCAAACCTCCTGAAACACCACTACTACAACCAACAGCACAACAATGTGAAGCCTGTGGAAATAGAGTGTGCCAGGGCTGACATCAAAACCCGGAAGTTTAGCATCGTGCTGGTTCCCGGAAGAGAAAGTGAATGTGATTTTTGCATTGCGTTTTGGATTATGTCAGAAAATAAGCTCTGTGGCTAACACAAGTTTATGATACTTACAGGTTTTGTTCAGTGAGATAATCTTCACATATGAACACCTTTCATACCGCATTTGAAGCTTAAATGCAATCACCAGAAGTAAAAAGCTTAGTTAGGCTTTAACGGACTACATGACTACTCTATGGTTGCATGACTCTTGACGTCACCGCCACTAAGCTTTCAACTGATTTCGGCCGCTTTATTTTAAAAACATTGTATAATGGGGAAATCGGACTGTTTAAGCTAAATAACAAGCTGTAATGGCGGACTGCCAGCACTCTCGCCTGTTTGGGGGTGATGACGTTTACTGTCCCCGACAGGGTTTGTAGTCGTATTGAGCAACTTGTTAGCAACCGCCTTTTTTACGACACGTAAAAGCTTCAAAATTCACAAGTAGGGTATTTTCTGACGTGTTTTATGTCTTGGAACAAAACCTGAAACTCGCTTAAGCTTTTGTTAACCACAGACCTTATTTGAGGCATTTTACCAAAATCCCATTCAAAAAATGTATTGACTTTTAGACAAGAGAATCGGAAGTGCTAAAAGCGCTAACGGAGTTCTGGGTTTACTGGCACACTCTATGCACCCCACCAAAGGCTCGGAGGATAGCTGTAGCCCTAGACTGGCTAAACTGGATGTTAATCGTGGACAGCTGCAGGCTACAAGCTACAAAGAACTCATGAAGCTAATAACTGGGTATACGGTGGTTGAAATGTTCCCTATCTCCACAATTAACTTAAAAAATAACAGTCACAGTCAACAGGGGATTTAGGAGATTACCCTGAAATTCACATGGAATCTTTTTTTTTTTTTTTTAAAGACATTTTTTGGGGCATTTTGCCTTTAATGGACAGTACAGGTAACATGAAAGGGGGAGAGAGAGAGAGAGAGAGGGGGATGACATGCAGCAAAGGGCCACAGGCTGGATCCGAACCCGGGCCGCTGCGGCAACAGCCTTGTACATGGGGCGCCTGCTCTACCCAATAAGTCACCGACGCCCCGTCACATGGAATCTTTAAGTCTGAATTTTGAGGAGAAAGGACTCAATAACCAATTTTGTTGGGTGTAAAGGAAAAGTAATTTAATAAGTGGTTTAACTTATTACTGTTGGCAGAGAACAATAAGTAAAGAGTAAAGTAATAATATTACCCTTAAAGAATAATCAGTAGTAAATTACATTTACGCTGTCTCTTCATCATGGATGCACAAAGCTGCTACTTCATCCAAACTACTGTGTTGTTTTCTCATGAATAGGCCCAATTAATGGCAGAGTCTCTCCAAAATGGATGCTTGTTGATAATATAGTGAAAATTCTTATTATTCATTGCTAAATCTGATTGCAAGGCATAATTTTATTTGGCTATCCAGGGCAGGCATTATACACAGCAAGCAGAGGCGTCTGTACTGTGATGAGGTGGAACATTGCAAAGTAAAGCAATGTGAGACCTTGAGAAACTATCTAAGCTAATTTATGACTTTAATCTTGAACATTTTATCTAGAAAGTTTTACTCCCCTGGCTCTTTTTTCAAAATGTATTTTAAAAAACACGATTGCTTAATAAGACCTAATAAGCTATCCATATCACACACACATTAGAAAACAATATTAAGATATTTATGATTCAGTCCATCAGAACCATTGTTATGGCTTGAATGTGTTCTAGCAGTCGGCCAGACAGAAAGAGAGACAAAGAAAAAGACACCAACACTCGTGGTTATTTTCTGTACATGTGTTGCAGGTGAGCAGATTTCAACTGGAATGCATGAGCTGCCATGTTTGGACACAACATCCAGTGTTTAACACAGAACCATGGGAATAACTAGATGGTTTGTCAGTGTAAGCAGCTAGTAACATGCAAGGGAGGTAAAGTGTAAAAACAGTGCAGTGACAATACAGATGTATTATTCTATTAGATACAATACATTTGTTCGTTTGGCTACACTGTGTAGAGTGTAGAGTTAGAGAAAATGAGACTTGCTTCCAGTAATGAAGGAGAGGCGTAGATTTTTATTCAGACAAATGAGTGTCATTACTGTAAACAGATGAGAGTCTAAGTGAGCAGACTGGCAGTCTCTATCAGCTCGTACGCTGTGAGACATCGGGGCGGCTTTGGAGGGAAATCTGACAGATTACTTTATGGCACAATCAGGAAGAGGATGATGTTCTTCCACAGCAAACGGAGCTTTTAGAGAATCTCGTGACGGTAGATGGTGGAAAGAATTCTAGAAAAATAAAGAAAATTTGAGAAATTTTGAAAAATTTGAGAAAAAAAATGAAATAAAAATGCCATCTATTACATCTGTCAGCTTGATCTGTGCAGCAGTAACAGAGGAAAGAGAAATGTATGAATGAGACCAACTAGCGGTAGCATAAAGCCAGTAATGTATGAGGGGGTTTTTCTGAATGCATCCTGGCTCTCCTCTTCCATTACGCTCTCCTCATTATCTCAGGCAGGGTTTAAATACACACACATTATCCTTTTTCTACCTGCATGCCTGTGTGTGTATGTGTGTGTATGAGTCACGTCTCAGCTCTGCGGTTCATCGCCTGCCTGGCGTCGCAGAGGTCACACGCTCCATAATAAGTGTTAGATGCTCACCTGCGCACCTGCTGCTGTGCATTCCTGCATGTTTATGTTTGTGTGTGTGTGTGTGTGTGTGTGTGTGTGTGAGAGAGAGAGAGAGAGAGAGAGAGAGAGAGAGAAAGAGAAAGCGGGAGAGAGAGATAGACCAGGGGGAATTACCTCTGTTCACAATGAAAAAGATGATTAACCCACACACCCACACACAAAATCAATCGTGTTTCTACAAGGTATGAGGTGTTAGGATAACGCATGTACACCTACACACACAGGCGCACACATACACACGCACAAGGATGGAAACACCCTCATCACAGAGCCGTAACCATGGAGAAATCAGGAGAGAGCTGACAGAAATGAGCAAAGGAGTGAGGGGAGGATGAAAATGGGTTTTAGGCAAAATGGCCCCCTGTGATTGGAAGGTTGGCAGCTCAAATCCCTGAAGAATTTGTGCCGAGAGAAAACAAAAATGTTAGTGCAAAAGTTTATTCTTGATTTACTCCCTGTTTTTTTTAGAGCTTTTAACAGCATCTCTCAGTCTCCTTCAGATGTCAACAGGCCTTCAGACATTCTTACAGGCTTACATTGTTTCATCTGTGATGGTGTTTGCTGTCAACTGGGCAAGAAATAGATTACATGGAAATGTAAACATCTACATTTCCTACTAAATAGACCTTGAGAAATTTGGATACTGACGTCTGGATTGCCAAACTAGATATAACGCTATCTGAGTATTACTCTGGATTATCTCCCATGTGTATTAATGTGGCAGAAAATTAATAGGGAAGCAAAAAGTTTACGATGAAACAGCAATGGTTAGGATTAAATTAGGGATGCACAACACTGGATTTTTTTTTGCCGATATCCAATATGCTGATATATAACAATTTATTTGGCTGACCTAATGTTAGTGATCATCAGGTCTCTTCTGTTGCAGAATTAACATCATATTATGCATGAATACTCTTACCATGATGGCCCGCCAACAGATGGAGACATGAAATACAGTGCTTTTCAATGAATATAACATTCATTCACTGTGCTAAACAAGAAGAAGCATGTTGGGTCATTCTAATACTGGCCGATATCAGTGACATGACAATATTATCATGCATCCCAAGATAAAATGTCTTTTAGTTCTATTGATAAGTTATTGTGTGATGTAAGACATTGGTTCTCAAGCAGGCGTCCGATTTCCAGGGGTTCCCCAGAAAAATGAGAGATAGTTTATCTTCACTATTTAATTCACTGCAAGTGCCCAAATAAGAGACATAAGCATAGGTGTAGATTTTGGGGGGAGGCAGGGGTCACAGCCCCCTCAATGTGTAGAACATGTGTATTTGTACCCCCTAGTAAAAGCATGAAAGTAGTAATAGTACTTTCAATTTGACGAACGGCTAGAATGCAACTCATAGATACAACAAGGCCTATAAATGCCAATAAAATAGGTGGTGGCAGTATGGTGGCAAAAGCTCTGGTTGCAATCTGCCAAAAAAACAGAAAGAAGTTGAAGCAATATGCACAGTTGAAACAGGAAGTACCTTTTTCACCATAAATGTATGCACAAAAGGCAAATGTTGTTGTTTGAAATTTATCAGAATGTATGAAATGAAGTGTTTGATGCTCAAAATTTCTTGGTAGAGGATCCTCAGACCCCCCACAATCCCAAACCCTTGGACAATGAGTAATGGAGGTCCCTGAAGCAAGACATGTTGAAATAAATGCTTTACTGATGGATTGTCTTTGCTTTGCAGGATCAAGCATGAGAACATTGTGGCACTGGAGGATATCTATGAGAGTCCTGACCACCTCTACCTGATCATGCAGCTGTGAGTTGAAGTTTTATGTTCTTTTTTTTTTTGTTGCTTTCTACTTGAGCTTTGTTGTTCAGTATAGTTGGTGAGAAAACAGACCCCAGAATCCTGCATGTGTCCCTGGGAGATCGTTTAATCAGGTGATCTGGTAATAGTGAGCTGTGTGCTGAAACTTAGTCCACTCAATTTACACATGAAGTTCACTTTACCTGTACCAATACTACTTACTCTGTCAAAACACTTGTATAGCGTCTTCTGTGGCTTTGGAGGGAACTTGAAAAAATAAACCTGACTGTGTCATCAGGCTTATTTCAGCTTGGACATTTTAGAAAATGATAGGATGAAATGATGTGTAGCAAAAGTCCTCAGCTGGACATTGCATTCAACTTCAAGGCCACCAGGATGCCCTAGACTTAATGTTTTTAACAGAAAGCCTTTGTTACAAGCTGGAGGTACAGGCTTTGGAGGAAGTGTGCATTTCAGAGGCAGGGCTTGTTTCAAACTACCCACCTAGGGGCAAGCTGCAACTATCTGTGCAACATGTACACTTAAAGGAGACCATTATGTTTTTCCTTATTTTCTGTCATATATTTAATGTTACAATGTTGGATGTTCATATTAAATGATGTCAAAGTTTCAAATAATGAGGTAAATGTATTTAAATGTAATCCCTGTGAGCAAAACCTTTGGCTTCAGATCATTCTGAGTATTCTGTTTAAAACGTTTTTCTACTTTGGCTACAATCAAACGTCACGTCAAGGCAGATTTCTTTGTATGGTCATGGCTCCAGGCACACTACTGCAAGTGCTACATGTAGCTACATGCTAATGTCAGGCAAACATCTAAATTTGGTTGCCGATATTAAATTTTCCCTGATTTCAAATTATGTTCCTGCTGAAACATGTCCAGTTGTAACAGGAGAAAGTGTTTCTATACAAGATAATATCCAAGATACAAAAGACTCTGAAATGCTGACCAATCAGAGCAGATTTGCTTTTTTTGCAAGGGGGTCTTGAGACAGGTGCTAAAACAGAACGTCTCACACAAAGAGTGCATACAGGTGTTTCAGCACAAACAATTTGAGTAAAATAAAGTGTTTTTCTGAACATTTAAGCATGTAAACATGTTCTTGTAGAAACCTTTAATACAAGTATGAACCCAAAACTGAGCGTAATCCTGTACGTCCCCTTTAAGCTATGATCAGCAACTTTGATTTAATGTGGTGCAAAAAGGTCTCTTTCTAACCTTAAAAGCAAGTTCCCCTGAAAGGTGAAGTTTTCTTGTGGAGTTAAATGTGAGTGCTTCCTGACTTATTTATAAGAATGTTGTGGTTCTCAGGCATTTGTCTACTAAATATGCAGAGCAGTATGACTCAGCTTTTAACTTTCCACCAAGTGTTGAAGTGGTCCCCCATAGGAGAGAACAACCAGGCCTGTGGATGCTGATAACTGCATTATGGGTACTGTAGTATACAGCATTGTTAGAACATGGCCCAAACTAGACTCTGGTCTGGTGAAAGAGGGGGGGGGGGGGAAGTTTCATTGGTTTTTATTTTTTATGTCCAATATAGACCCAAAAAAACCTCTCTATTTAGTGTGTGTGTTTATTTATTGATTTTTGGTAATATTGTATTTTTGAAACAGGAACATTAGATCTTTCCAAAGAGCAGTTTCTCAGTTGATGAAATCAGAGTACAACTTTCATATTTCTAATTTCAGTAGTTGGTAGTTTACAGAACAATTTGTTAAAACTACAATATTTTCTTGCGTTATTCATAAAATACTATTTATGAACCAGAGATTCATATTTCTGTCTTTCTCACACTTTTAATCTTATTCCTCTGCCCACCCACCCATCACCACACACAAACACATGCACACTTTTCATTTCAATGACAGCTCTACTGAGACGACAACATCTCACACATTAACACACACATAAAAAGCCCACCCGTCCACCCACACACACGCAAAAACACAACACACATCTACAAGGCCTCGATTACATCAGCAGCATCTCTGCTTTGATGGTCAGCTGTAGAAGCAGAATGGCCCGTGGTTCACCCATGGGTGCCCTACTAACCTCCTCTGCAAGGTTGCTGCTGCTTACATAAGACGTTGGACTGGAAGTTTGGCACTTGTACTGGAAACATTTTTGTCAAGTTCAGGTCTGTGGATTACACAACAGTGGCTATGTTTACTGTTTATCTGACGTTGGCAAATTATGTGTTCGCCTACCACACGTGGGTCCCTCTACGCCAACTCTGAAAAAAGTACAAGATACAGGAGAAGTTTTGTCTTATGACACTGTGAAATCTCTACTTTTTTAGATTTGATTGAGGGATAAACTCTTGAGTTAAAGCTAACACTTTACTTTGATTGACATTAAAGAGATTCTGTAGAAGATTCAAGAAAATTCCATGGACTTCTTCAGTTACTGAAGACTGAATGGAGTAATCCCATTCACTATGATGTAAGAGTTAATGTTGCAGCAGTGTGACATAATCAATAACAAGTCACTTGTTTAAACCTGCAGATTTTAGCCGTAATGGGGATTTATATATTCTTTACAATACACTTCATTTGTGATGATGGACCAGTAATTGCTGGTCTTCTCAAAGGTTTACAGCAAGCAGAGCATGTGTTTTAAAAGACAGACAAACCAAGGGAACTTACAGGCTTACATTGTATCACAATTTTAATAGTAACAACTGTGGAGAAAAACTGGCAAACATGTTAGTTTTAGTGGTAAAGTGTTAGAAACAGAGAGTTTAAACAGACTGCAGTGGTGTGGCTGTACAGTAGTAACATTCCCAGTAATCAGTTGATAAGATTTGTCTCCTAAATAGGTTACTGTAACATAAAGTAGTTACGTCAGACCTCATCTGATAACGGAAGCTTTATCTGACATCACTGGTATTTAATGGTATTTATGTTCGGCAGCAGTGACATTTTCAATCCAAGCTAAAGGAAGCCATCTAAAGAAAACTGCAGTGGCTTAAGGCATTAGGAAAATTATTTCCCTATTAATGTATACTTAAAGGGACAGTTCACCCCACATCAAAAATACATATTTTGTCCTCTTACCTGTAGTGCTATTTATCGGTCTAGACTGTTTTGGTGTGAGTTGCTAAGTGTTGAAGATATCGGCCGTAGAGATGTCTGCCTTCTCTTGAATATAATGAAACTAAATGTCACTCAGCTTGTGGTGCTCAAAGCACCAAAAAATGTATTCTGAAAAACTCAACAGTAACGTCTCTTTCCAGGAATCATGACCTGGTTACTCAAGATAATCTACAGACCTTGTTGTGAGCAGTTTCATGTATTTGCTTCCTACCAAACTACACCCGTAAACTGTATCATTGTGCAGAAGGAAGTGTGCATCTACTCATGGACGTGACAGCGTGAGATGTAAAACTTAATGGGGTCCTCCTTGGCTGAGTTTTAATGTTAGCTAGCTCAGTGATGCCAGGTGAGCTAGCAGTGGATGAATGCTTCTTTCCACACAGTGATAAGATAGGTGATGTAGTATAAAGAAAATAATTCCTACATGCAACTGCCCACAAGGAGGTCTGTGGATTATCTTGAGTAACCGGGTCATGGTTTCTGGAGAAAGACATTGTTGTTTTGAGCACCACAAGCCAAGTGCAATCTAGTTCAGCCGGTATCTCTAACACTCAGCAACTCACACCAAAACAATCTAGATCGATAGATAGCACTAAAGTTAAGAGGGAAAGTACTTTTTTTTTTATTTTAAGGTGAACTGTCCCTTTAAAAGGTAACAATATTGTCATTTGAGAACATTTGTATTTGTAGCAGAACTTTCGTCAACCAAAGGCCAAGAAAACAGGTCAGATCCAGAATGCTTTAAAGCATTTTTTTTTTCTTTTTTTTACTTTTGTTGAACAGCAGTCTTTGAGGCAACAGGTGGTAACAGAGATATTGGATGAAGCGAGATACCCAACTCAGCTCACTTCCTGATTCAGTGACGTCAGCGCCACGCCCCCGTAGGAGACTTGCGGCAGCTCTGAATGTATTGTCGTCAATGAGGAAAATGAACGTGATCACAATTTATGGTCAATTCTTTCGCCCTGTAGTCACTAAAGTAAATATTGCGTTCATTTTCCACAAGCCACACATCTTACCAACATTCTGACACTAAAGCTGCATTTTTCATCCGCACAGATCAAGAGAAAGTTAACTTTGTTTGAGCCCTGTCCATCTCAGAAAACAAGTTCTCGCTAGATCTCGTGATCTTGATAAACAGGCGGTAAAATCACAGTTAGCTTACAAACAGTTATTTACTGCTAGTAATAAATAAAAAATGCCCAAGCTTTGTGCAACAATAGGCTGCGGGGGGGAGGGGGGTTGAGGGAGAACAGGCTCTGATTGGAGGGAGAGCTAACCACGCCCACTTAGGAGACAGGAAGAGTAACCGTTTTCTTAACATTGGATAAGCCTACAGTTGGGTATCTCCCTTCATCCAGTATCTCTTGTGGTAATTACAAGTTAAAGCTAAATGCCAAAACATAGTATAACAACAGCACAAGTAGAGCAGGGTCACAGAGTCAGTAAGCTGGCTCAGTAACATCAGTTATACAACAGTATCTATGTAAGGTTTGCTAACATTAGCTAATGTTAGTTACCATATGGCTGCTACTAGTCTTTGCAGACTCATTAATTCAACCTGTCATTTGTGAGGAAGATTTAGGCATTTCTTCCATCCGGTATTATTTAATGTTCAGTTCTTTTCAGACACTCAGATGGTAAATGAAAGAAACACATTCAGCTTTTCACAGAGTTGAAGGTCCTCCAATACATCTGCTGCGATGCGTGTTACGTCACCTAAAATCCCTCCGTTGGCCAGACTGCAGCCGAAGGTTTTACTCTGATTAAGCTGTTTACTTTCTTTATTAACTTTTTGATGGAGTTTCCTGTTGTCATGAATAAACCAATTAGCAGTTTCCTGGCTGCCTGCCACCACCTGTTTGTTAGGTTTGCTACTGTTGGTCACAC